TTCGGTGGGTGACTACACAAATGTTTTTCGACATGGACCGTGAAACAGAAAGGCTTTGCGGGATACGCTACTACCATCCATATAACTATTTAGAACAGTGCGAATGTGTTCCGCTACACCCGTAGAATTATGGACGACGGCGACGTCTTGGCAATTTGGACAGCATTTTTGGACACAATGTATAATTTATCCATTTTTTTGAAGCAGCAGGAAATAAGGCTTTGAGAGAAACTGGGATTATTATTGCAAGTTCTGTCGCGAAGCAGAATGATAACAGGGTAACCACGTTATTATCACGTGACTCTTTGGGACAGGCAATAGCAAGAGAAATCTCAAGGAAATCTGTTCGTATTCAGCAAGTAGTCAGTGAGCACTAATGTAGTGATAAGCCTCACGGGCCCGCTATCAAACTCCCCTTCTAAATCTCGTCCTCCGCAAAGGAAGCGAACTGGATATCCGTGATACCATCAGAGAAAAGTGGGATCATATTCCTTATGTGGTCCCTGATGTGCAAAATCACCCTGCTCGTCAACGCGGAATGTAGGCATCGTTCCACACTTAATTTTCAAATCATAAGCACTCTTCAGTACTGATACGAAATCTGGAACGTACGACATAAGGATATAAAGATATTTTGCCTATTGATGCAACGTTAGTCCATGTTCTTTTTGTGAGTAATCAAATCAACCCACCGGCAGCGCGTTTATTACGATTACGTTGGTAACGGATAAAACTGCATGAGTATGTATGGTAAGGACGGCATCATCAAGCACGCTGTCGATTTCATTTTACCAAAGAGATAGACATAAAACACGACGCCTACGGTCCCGTCAAACGAGTAAGTTGGCAATATTTCTGGGGCTTGCTTACCATCGCGATAGACAACCGCATGAAGGCCTTCATTCCCTTGCTCTCGGTCTTAAACAGCATCATGAAGTAAAGATATTCTTCACAAAGATAAGGACGGACAGGCCGTAATTCCGGGGATGATCATCACGACGAGGAGAACTAGGGCCGTCGTCAAATAATTTCTGTTTTAGGATTTTTTTCGCACTTACCTGAGTCATATACCATCAAAGCGAGCCAGTTCACATATACCAACCGATTTGTGCCCGTAATAAAACACCCCGGAAATTCGGGATATGGTCTATTGCTCACTTAGGTATCGATTATTGACCAGTTCGAAAAGGGGGAAAGATCAGTTGATTGATTCAACGCACATTTTAGGCCATGTTGAAAAAGGCCAGTGAAAACGTAGCATGCAGCCGCAGTGGCAAGGAGAAGTATTGATAGCGCGATTCCTAAAAACTTGCTTCGTTTCCACACTGCCCATACGCGTAGTGTTAGAATGACTAGAACGACACTCATCAATGTCCGATCAACATGAATTTAATAATTAGACGGACTTTCGGATAGAATAAAACCAGTGACGCTGAGTACTAAAGGACAATGGGGCTTCAAGAAACGAATACAATAAATATGCGAGGGAGGGACGTACCACCCTGAGCTTTCTCAATTTTATTGCAGACCGACGGGTTAATCGTCGTCGATGACTGGTCTGTGATGATTCCGAAAATCAGGATAGGATCATGAACCAGGCCGAACTTTCACTTACGGACAAGGGTGAAGGTAGCTGCATCTATAAAGGGAAGGTATCGCTGAACAATGAACAAGACCTTCATGGGGCCCCACGCTGACAACCATACCAAATCCACCTCCATTCTCAATGTCAAGAAATAGTCATACACCAACATCGCCGCCGCGGAGACTGCGCAACAACTAGTTCAGTTACCAGTATGCCGATCGGATGAAGTTCAGAGACGACCCACTATTGAAACACTAGGATAATTAGTTGGTAAGCTTTAAGGAAGATGATGCTCGCACCGTGACCAGCCTCATGGCGTCAACGTACTCCACAAGTTGATTTATATCGATTACAGTCTCTCTTGACACCATGTACGTTTGCCGAGGTATAGGAAATCAGACGGAATGGTGCGATGAGCTTTATAGGAGTGAGGGATGAAAGCGCGCTGTAAGACCGCGAGAATTCATGACTTCTCCAACTGAAGATGCGACGGCCGGTCCGTGATAAGAAACGCCTCCGCTCGAGACGGAAGTGACGTCAATTGTTCAACGTATGTGCATGGTCTATTTCAAGTCAGCGTAAGTCAAAGTTACGCTCTTGAGTGAGAAACAACGGCCTCCTTCGTTAAATTCCACGGTAGGGGAACCCAAGGGATGTCAAGAGTAGAATTACTTTCGATTTGAATTGTTTCAACTTCCATCCTTCCTGTCAAACGATGCTCATGACGTCGTAACATCAGGTTCCAATCTGATCCTTGAAAAACGGGATAGAGGACCTGATCACCTCCATGAAAGGGAGATCGACTATCATCACCCGCAACAAAGGAGTTGCCTACTGTTCACTGTAGACTGCGTATTCAATGACAAGACTTACGAGCGTGGCCAAAAGATTCACACTGGAAAATGAAAACACGTTTTAGTCGACATCAGGAAAATCACATCACGTGTGGCACGTGTGGCACCACGCTTCTCACCCAAACCACGGTCAGCCACACTCCCACAAACAATGATGGGGACATTATAACTTGTGGTGGCAAAGGGTGGCGACACACCCACCACAATCATTCGTGGCACCACAAACTCATCATAATTTCACTATGGGGCCACAAATCCAGCTTTGAGATTACACCACACTGCCCAAATGAAAACATAAAAATCATTTATTGGTATTATATTACATACAAAACGATATGCAAATACTATATTGTAACAAAAGAGTGAATGAAAATGATTCGGGGACTCACCCAATCATTCTTGACGCAGCCCTCCTCCATGAGATCAATGAGGTCCTGTTTGTGACAGAGGTCAGAAATGAGGTAATGGTGAGATGGGCAAAGCGCACCACCAAAGGACAAACATGGGACGGTGGGTACTTATCGTTCACATCCTACAACACACGACGGCAACAAATGAGCTTGTCGTTTGGCTGCCAGATCGCCGACGGAGACGTAGCACCTAGATTCCGTGTTAGAAAGATAAGTGGTGGGGAGGTGAGCTTGCCTCACCTCGGCTCGTTGTGATCTGTTTCCGTTGTCGGTTGCATGAATGATGATGGTCGGTTGGTTGGCATGGCTGTTGTTCGTGCTTGTGGGCGGTGTGATGTGGAATTGCCACATCGTCATTGCAATTGGGTTGGTCGTTGTTTGCCACGTCGCCGCCCCTGCTTCTCTTGTAAAAACAGTACTGTAAAGAGGAGACTAGTCGAAAGCTCACCTCGCTATCCATCATTTGTTATTCTCCAACTGTTGTTGTTTGCCACGTCACCGACAGCGACGTGGCCCCTGTGCGTTGTGGTAAAAAACGAGAAGCGGAGGGAGTTCAGATGGCTCACCTTGAGTAACGTGTGCAGTGATGACGACAGGCATCATCACCAGTCACCGTCCGCACATCCCAGGTGGTTGTCGTTGTCGTTCAGGTACGTCGTTGTTCATGTCGTTGAGGCCTGAGGTGTAATAATGGTTGGGTGCGGTTGAACGATGGACTCGAGATGGTGGTGGTGACGCGTTGCCACAGTGGAGGGAGACTACCAATAGGGGAGGGTAGTCAGACGTCTCACCTGGTTGTCCGTCGTTTGTTAGGATCCGTTCTTGGTTGCCACGTCACCAGCAACATGGCCCCTTGTGTCTTGTGTGAAAAGAGGAGAAGGGGAGGGAGTTCAAGTCGCAAACCTTGGAATATGGACAGTGACGACGACATGCGTCGTTACCGTCTGGTCGACGTGGCATGTCCATTGATATGCCAGGTCTTTGTTGTCGTTGTCATTGGGTAGGTGCGGTGGTGGTTAGGGGTGGGTTACCAAATGTGGTGGTGGTTGGTGGTGGCGGTGATGCAGCGGAGGGGGACAATATGACTGTGGAAGAGAGGAGGAAGGAGGTCAGCGGGAAGACTCGGAGAGCGGAGGAAAAGTTTACAAGTCCAAAACGTTCCATTCAACATGTCGCGTGATTGATACTTACACATGCGACAACAAATCTGTGGTGTCAAAAAATATTGTGACGCGCGTGGCACAATTTATCCGGAGATCAAAATTATGGCGGTGTGGTGCCATATCCATCACTCCGGCCACACTCCGCCACGCGATCACGACGTGCCACACATTTGTGATTTTCCTGATGGACGCAAGGCGAAGATCGCACTTTTGCGTAAGGCCAAGGTGCTAATGTCATAGTGGAAGACGCTGAGAAGTAGTGAGGTAGTTTGATCGAAACGTAAATCCACCCGACATTCATGGAATGTAATTGTCAGCATGATACAGCAACTAGAGTTTCCAATCAGCAGACTGTCAAGGGGTGGGGATTTATAACCATACTGAGGGGAGTGTTACACGAAGTGTTGAATCACTGAAGGGAACCCGATTTGCGACAGCTTCAAAACTAAAGTAACAATCGAGGAGCATGTCACCGCATTGATGTGTATGATTGCTGTGATGCCGTATAAATGATTCGTTAAACAACTGACGCAGGGGAAACCCGAATGAAATCAATACTTCACCTCATGTTTCAAACCTGCACTTTTCGTCGGTCACAAACCGTAGTCAATGCTGAACCCATGGTGGTGGCCACGTTCAGTAATGCGGTTAAATAACCACTTAGTTACAGAGATAGAGGTGGGAATTTTGAGTGAATAGACACCACTTGGGGACGAGGTTGCCTTTGAGCTTGAGATCGCATTTTTTCGACGTCAAGGCGTTGTATTGAGACTGATGCCGAGTATACACCCTCATATCATAGAAGCGAAGGGCAGCTTCCCGCTAGGAAAACCCCGAGGGGCCGATGGCAGAAGAGGGCACCGAGGGAAGGAGGCTAGGTAAGCATGAGGTAGATAGTTGAATGACTCTGAAGTCGTGCCGTTGCCATTAGAAGGACGCGCCATCGTCACGGTCATCTCCTACTCATCGGAACGTGGGTTCAGGCTTATCCTATGGATGAAACAGGGCGTACCTCGGAGAAAGCGCCCGGATTCACAAGGGTCGGGTATGGGTGCAACATAATCGTCGTGTACAAGCAAAGCCCACTAATAAAAATGGAAATTATTGATGACTACCAAAGTGCCCGGAAAACGTGCAGATACGTTGAGGGAAGCTTCTGGCCAAATTTCAGCCAAGTCTCACGAGCCGTTTTGGAGAAAATGGCCATATACAAAAATAGACCCTAAATTTTTGGCCGGACACCAAAAAGTGCCAAGAAAAATATGAAAAATAGCGGAATCGCTTCCTTTCACGGAGAACAATCTGCCCATCAAGTTTCGAAACAATTTATCGAGCGGTTCTTCTGAAAAAATTGCCAAACATTGACCCAAATTGGGCACTTAGTCACTTTTTGATGTGACATCTATCACGGGACTAAGAAATTCCATCACACTAGGCTTTCGAAATGCAGGGAAATCCCTTTCTGATAGATTCTTTGCCCTTTCTGAGTAGCTTCCAGCCGAAGCCCAGCACAGGTACCAACTTTCGATAATTTCTGGCCGGTTTCGACCTGTTTTTCTCCCCAAATGTTGCAGTTTTTTGGTCCAAAATTTTGGCCACGCCAATTCCTCATGGGAAAAACTTCGGAGGTGCGTTTTTCGACGCATTTCGCAAATCTGAGCCAGAATCTGGAAAAATCTCAGCTCTAGATACATTATTTACCAAGATACCAAATTAGTGGGCTTTGCTTGTCCACGACTGTATGCAATGCTGGGACAAGGAGTGACAGAGTGTGTAGGAAACGAGGGGCTTGTGCTGAAAAGTTTAACAAGGCGTCAAAAACGGCACGCCACAGTGCCTGCCGTTATACCGTATTCGCGCCTCTGAAGACGGAGGTTAGCGAATGTTGGTAGGAACGAGCTGGGGACTAATGCACCTTCAAAACTTACACTGCGTCTGCTATTCTTACGATCCCATCCACAACTGGATCTCGAACAAATACCATCCCAATAGCAAGGTGCTTCTGAGTAGTTTCAAGGTCTGTCGCATTAAAATGCTAGTCGTTCAGTGGAGAGGGGTCGTTTAGACAGACAAGATACTCACTTTATAGTCTTTTTCTAATAAATCGACGCGGCTCATTGACTGTCCTGGTGACTTGGATGATGAAGCCAACCGTTGATCAACGTCGATGTTGTTCTTGACGACCATCACCTCCGCCAACCTTGCTGACCAATCAGTAACCTCCGTTCAAACTTCAACTCGACTTTCTCGCTAGGGTAAGTGTCCAATTGGTCCAACCATCCTAACCCTCTAATTCGCGGCATGGCTAACGAATAGTTCCAACACGCCCCCACTAGAATAATATCGAGGTGAACCCTTCCTCAATCCGATTCTGATGTCCCCTCTGACTATTCTCACCCAAACGAACGATGAGGACGCCCATTTCCGACTTTTAGAAGAGCAGATCTTGAGTTCAATATTCACATACATGGATCATCTTTTTGGCAAGATCAAGCCGAAGAAATTCCTCTTCCTGGCAGTGGATGGGGTGGCGCCGAGGGCGAAGATGAATTAACAACGCAGCAGACGTTTTAGAACCCGCAGACGGAGAAGGTGTTTGATAGTAACTGTATCACACCGGGTAAGTCTCAATCCATCTTCTTGGTCCAGCTAGCCACGTCATCCCACCAAGTGACTTTCAGCGTTCTGTTTTGGTTTCAACCCTTTTCTTTTAACCCATATTTCTTCCTTCCCCGCCGGAGACGTAACTTTTTCCCTATCCTGGATCTTCTCCTTTTTCATGCTCACGTTGTATGTCTTTCCCCTCACAATCGCGGTCGTCTGCTTTCCCACAACTCTTCTTGCACACATATGTCCAGAAGAGATCTAGTCACTGACCCCGGACTGAAGC